GGGGGCTGGGGAGGAGGGGGATGCAGGGGCCGGGGAGGAGGGGGATGCAGGGGCCGGGGAGGAGGGGGAGGGGCTGGGGAGGAGGGGGCGGGGCTGGGGAGGAGGGGGAGGGGCTGGGGAGGAGGGGGCTGGGAGGAGGGGGCGGGGGCTGGGGAGGAGGGGGTGCGGGGGCGAGGAGGTCGTGGCCGCCCCAGAGCCGGGCTGTGCCCTCCCTCTGCTCACCCCGCTATTTTGGGGGCAAACTCCGCAGGCGCGTTCACCTGCCCAAACGTCTCGGGCTGTGATCCCGGGACAGGGTCACACGCGTCTCAGCTGCCCGAGAACAGAGCACCCCTGCGCTGCCGCTGCTGCGGAAACGCCCCGAAGGGTCCCGAGGCCCCGCGCCTGCAGGTCCTCAGGCCGCGCTCGCCGCACACTCCGGGCCCCACTGCCCCGGCCCCCCGGCCCGCAGGCCCTGCCCTCAGGTTTCTGCCGCACGGCGGACCCCGCCCCGTCCTTCGCTCAGCTGCGGGGACAGTCAGGCCAGAACGAGTGACGGGCGCGGCCCGTGGGAGGTCACAAAGGTGCCCGCGTTTAGGGCCCTTCCGGGGGGACCTCGCAGCCCGGCCCCTCGCTTCCTGTCGCGTCCCCACAGCCGCGTTGGTCTCCTGGGGGCTGTAACACGACGCCTACTTCCCGCTGCTCTGAAGGCCGGAGTCCAAAGTCAAGGACGAGCAGGGCTGGCTCCTTTCCGAGGCCGCAGGCAGCCTGCTCCCCGCCTGCGGGACGCCCTGGACGCCCTCCCGCGGCGGGGGCTTCTTCCCCGCCCCGGCCTCTGCCTTCACGCAGCCCTTCCCCCCCCCCACGCCCCCTCCCTGGGACTCGAACCTTCCTCTTCTCACTCTGACTGGGCCCAGTCGTTGGGCTTAGACCCTGTTTCCAATTAAGGTCACGCCTGCCGATACCAAGGGTTCGGCCGGGTCGTTCAGAGGCCGAGGTTCGGCCCACTGTGGATGCTCACTTCCTGCTCCGGGCCGGGCTCCTCCAGGAGGAAGGGCCATTAACTCTCGACCTCCTCACGTGGGGCCCTGCGCTCTGGCCCCCACGTGGCGGAACGAGCCCGGTATCCGTCCTGGTCAGATACGATCCGTAAGAGGGCCGCCGGGAGCCGTCCGTAGGTGGCGGTGCTCTGACCGCGAGGTCGGAGCACCCCCCACGCGGGGCCGTGAGACACTAGAGGCTTGTTCAGGGACACGGCGGTGCTGGCAGAGGTCATGGCCTCACCTGGTAAGCTCGGCTGAGCGGAGCAGGGGAGAGGGGCCAGGGCCCTGCGAGCTGGTGGAAGTAGGCCCCCAGGGCTAGAGTCTGCTAACGACCGGGTGCCGATAGCGGACTGCACCCACCGGCGTGGGAACGGATGGCTTCCAGCTCCCGTCTTCCCTTCCCAAGGCCTGGACCGCTCAGCATCTCCGCTAATAAGTCCTGGGCCTCCTTGACCAAGACCATAAACAGGTCTGGAGATGTGGCCATTATTATTATTATCATTTAATGTTTAATTTTGAATGAGAGACCACGAGCAGGGGAGGGGCAGAGAGAGAGAGAGATTGAGAATCCAAAGCAGGCTCCAGGCTCTACATTGTCAGCTCAAAGCCCGACGCAGGGCTTGAATCCATGAACCGTGAGATCGTGACTTGAGTTGAGGTCAGACGCTCAGCTGACTGAGCCCCCCGGGCGCCCCAGAGATCTGTTATCTGAATGATTATCGTTAGAGTGAACGTCTGCTAGGCCTGAACTGTGTGGATGATTCCTCTCTGAGTTGATTTTTCTTTGCCATCTAGACATATGGGCTTAGAAAGGGCCGTAGCTTCTCTTTTCAGTTTCTGCAAGGTTTCTGGGAGAGTTGAAATGTCAGAACATGTTTTTCTTTGGCTGTGAACTTAGCCCGTGACCTTGGGAGGGACTTGCCAGTTGGTTAAACCCTTTTAGAGCAACGTGGCACAGAGGATCCTCGCCTGAGCGTGAGCAGCCGTGGCTGCGGCCCCGCCCTGGACCCGGTGGGGGCTCGGAGCCACATGCTTCCCAGCTGACGCATTCAGACGCCCCACCCGAGAAGCGAGGAGCTGACCCCGGCCCACCCCTAGGGCCCCACAGCTGTGCAACTCGGGGACGTGTGGCCGCAGTTCCTGAGGGTCTTACTCAGGGTCTCTAGGGTTTGGAATTCCTTACCCTCCTCCTGGTTGCAGACAGAAATGGGGGCTCGGGAGCACGGACTGTATCTTGGCAAAGGGGTTCATGGCAGGAGATGGTCTTAGGCTGGGGTCTTCCAGAAGGACAGTCTTCTAACAAACGTTTTTAATGTTTATTTATTTTTGAGAGAGAGAGAGGGGAGGGAGAGAGAGAGCACTAGAGTGCTCGCACATGAGTGGGGGAGGGGCAGAGAGAAGGGAACAGAGGATCCAAAGTGGGCTTCAGGCTCTGTGCGGACAGCCTGACACGGGGCTCGAACTCATGAACTGAGAGATCATGACCGGAGTCAAAGTTGGGCGCTTAACCGACTGAGCCAGCCGGCGCCCCCGCAAGGGCACTCTTAGACAAGGTCCATTACAAGTGAAGCCTCTAGAAGGCTGACTGGGGAGCACAGAGAAGAGAAGATCAGTGGAGAGGGTGTGAACAGACCCGTCCCGCTGGACACTCCCTGGGGTGGACGGCACACTGGCCATTCAGGGCACTCAGAGGGCCCGTCCTCGAGGGAGCCAGAGCCAACATTACCTGCAGCTGGACGTGGGGAAACGAGGCGGGGAGGGGGGGGCACGCGGTGCTGAGCCCAGCGGAGCAGGGCTCTCCCGTGTGACCATCTGGCGGCCTGCTCACCTCCCAGCCTCCTGCGGCCATTTTAATACCAGTTATTTCTTGTCTTTTCTCACATACTGAAGCCCTGAGTTAGGACGACATCGTAACCACATGGTTTGGGAGCCGTGGCTCCGTTTCCAAGCCCGTTTAGCTCTCCAACCACGTCAGGGGGGCCCTCCCCCCATGCTCCGTCCACAGTCCTGGGTCCCACTCAGCCCTGGGTCCCAGGGCATCAGCTTCGTGCTTCCCAGACAGAAGGTCAGACCGCCAGGTGGGCGTCAGAGGAGCAGAGAATGGAGCGTGTTCAGGGAGGGATGCAGCTGGTCCCCGACCTGCCGAGAGCAGGGGCGAGGCCGCGCCCAGCGGCTGCTCCTCGAGGGCGCTGCGGGCCAGGCCAGGATGGCGTTCGCTGCTCGCCCCGATCCAGTAAATGCCGCGCGGAGCCCCGTCCTGGGCGCAGCCTGCCGGCCCCCGGTGCTGTCCTCTGAGGGCTGAGCTGGGCCGTCCTGCAGGCAGATGAGCGGCGCCCGGGGCACGTTTCTGGGGCCAAAGCAAACAGCTGGCGTCTCAGCCGAGCACATTCCTGAGCTCATTAAACCGAGTGAAGTGAGCAAAACCGGATGGAGGCTGGGGAGGACACAGGGGTCACGGAGCGCGACGGGCAGGGCACCCGGTGTCCCTCTCCCTCCCCACCTGTCCCCGTTGGGTCCCTTCCACAGCCCCGGACACCCGGCTGGGGGGGGGGCGATGCGGGCGCCTGGCTGGCTGGGGGTCGCGGTCAGCGCTGCCTGCGAGGGACGGGCTCACAGGGGACAGACGGGCTGTGGGGGACCAGTCAGCCGGCAGGAAGGGATTATGTGTGATGCAAAGTGGATGTGACAGACCGGCCGGCCGGAGAACCGGAAAGATGGGGCTTTCGTAACCCGCGGGGGCCCCATGAGGCCAGAGCCTGGCGGAAGGCCCAGGTGGGGTCCGTGGGGGAGCCGTTCGGACGGGTGTTCACCAACGACGGGCCGGGCGTGGCTCGGCTTCTCGGTACCGATTCTGCTTCCCCTCCAAGCCTCCTTGACCCTGACCGTCCTCCGGCCTCCCAGCTAATGAGCCGGAAATTGCTTCAAGAGTCATGCACGACTTGGCATCTTTGCGAGAGGTGTTGACGGTTATGCCCACCCACCCGCTCGTGCCCTTGGAAAGGCCGGGTGAAGCAGGCGAAGTCAAATGGGGCCCGTCATCTGGGGTGTAATTCCGACCAGCTGTGGAGCCTGGGACACATTTCCTAACCTTCCTGAATGCGTTTTCTTCTTTGGAGGGTAGAGCTGATCGTGGAGAAAAGGTCTTGTGTTAAAGGTGGGCACAGCGGGCCCCCTAAGGATGGGAATGGCACGTTAGAGGCACATGTTCAGAGCTGCAGGGGTGCACACGGGCAGCTCTAGAACACGTTTTGGTAAAAAGCCTTGAAGACACAGTAGAAGTAAACGGGAGAGGCTGGGGGGTGATTCCGTTCTGGGGCCACGGTGTGAGTGAGCCGAGGGGACGGCCTGTGTTCGAGCACAGGGTCCAGCCGGAATCAGGCACCCCGCCCCCCCCCCCCCCGGCCCCCAATAGGCCCCCGTCCTGATGTTTCAGTCCGATTGGGCGGGGCAGCGGGGGAAGGCGGTTGGGAGTGAGTCTGGGGGCTCACATGGCTGCTGTCTCTCCTGGCGCAGCCATGACCTCGTAAATTGTCAAGTGTCGCCACGGGATGGTCTCCCCTTTCCCCCTCGCTGGCCTTGCTGTCTGCGAGGGCCTCGGAATGGAGAGCGGAGCTCAGTCCCACTCTGTTTCCTTGACTGCTCCTCATGACCCTCGCTGCCCCCAGGAGGGGGGGGCCCACCCCGAGTCACATGCTCAGGGGGCTGAGTGAAGTGTGAGGATGAGCTGAGCTCAGCATCGGGCCCGTGGGAGTTACCCAGATGTGAGTACCACTGCTTGCATTATTTGGTTATTTAGAGACCGTGTTGTTTGAATTAAAGGAAAGGGCACCATCTCCACTGCAATGGGATTGCTTCCAGCCCTTCCCCCTGCACCTGGCCGACGGTCCCCGATGCCCTTCTCTTTCCAAACCTCCCTGTCACCAGATGTGACTTTCCTGGTGCTTCCCTGTGGGACCCACAGTAATGGGGCCGATGTCACTGTGCTGTGACCAGCCTGACTGTGTGCCGCGCGCGGCCTCATTGCACACCTCCCTCGGCCAGGGCCTGTCCTGGATACCTGTCCAAGGACAGGTGGGGTCCTTGGGAGGAGGTGACTGGGTGGGCCCCACAGGTCAGCGGCCGGTCAGTTACCTTGTCCCCTTGGTCCCCCTCCCGCTTGAAAACACCTGCTTTCTGGTCTGTACCATCAGCGTGTTCTGGTCCAGGGTCAAGGACCAGAGGCCTGGAACCTCTGGACTGTGGCCGAGTGTCACCCTGGGCTGTGCTTTCCCCCGGGAGAAGCAAGCGGCCAAATAAAGCAGGTGTGTGGTCACTGAACAGACCCAGCTTCCCCAAGAGGGTGGTCTCAGGGAGCCTGACCTATCTCAGGTCGGGGTCAGTGAGCTCAGATCAAGGGCTCCTTCCTCCCACACAGCCGCACTCCTTGAACACTGAGTGCTCACCTGCTTGAGTCCTGGGCTGGTTCCATTGTGTTCCTGAGCCCCGGCCCTTCAGGGGTGAGGGGGCTGCGGCTGTGTCCGGCTGCCAGAGCCCTGTGGGTGATCGGCGCCTTGTCTATAGGATGCAAGTGGAGCAGAAGCCGGTCCGTAAGACTGGACCCTGGGGAGGCCATCCCAGGGGACCAGGATGGCATCTTTGGGAACATTCAGAAATACCTGCCACCCGGTGGGCGTCTCCTGGCTCAAGGTCACTGTCTGTGAGTGTGTTATCCTGTTAATGATGTCAGCTGCACATCTGTTCAACTCTCTGTGCGTCCGGCCTTCTATGGCTCACCTGGGATCACCTTTCCCCCAGCCCGGGGAGGCAGGACAGTCAGGATCCCCGCGGCCTTTGTGCGGGTGAGGCCGGGGGGGCTGCCTGAGGCCGGGGGACTTACTCAGAGTCGGTAAATGGCACCGTCAGGATTTAAACCAGGCCAACGAGCCACCAAGGCCATGCTCTTAACCTCATGCCGTTTACCTATTTAGTCTGCGCAGCAACACGGTGAGGTAGCTGTCATGACCCCCACTTTGCAGCAGCAGCAGCTGGGATTCAGAGAGTTTATGAGACCTGCTGGAGGCTGTGTGGCCCTGGCTTGGGTCCTAATAAGCAAAGTGCTTTCCATCCCTTTCCTCGCTTCATTCTAGAAGAGTCCGGGGCGTCAGGCTGCCCCGTCTGTTTCAGGGACCAGGTACCCAGGCTCGGGGAGATTCAGCAGCTGGCTGCAGGCTGGACAACGGGGGGTGAGTCAGCAGCGGAGGGTCCGAAGTGGCCGGTGCCGCCGCCGCGCCGCGTCCCCAGAGACCCGCTCCCAGCGCCGCGCCCTTTGGGTTTGTCCTGAGTCGGGAACAGCGTTCATGTGCCTACGATGGAGGCCATGTCGCTGGGTTTTGGTTTCGAAAACCTCTACGTGGGTCAGTGTGGAAGGTCAACAGTCAAGGGAGGACCCCGCCGTGGGGGGCAGTGAGGTCTCTCCGCTAGACCCGAACCCACCCCGCCAGGTCTGGTCAAGGCCCCGTTGCGGCGGCACGTGCAGCCCGGGCCGACTGGTGGCGGGTGGGCCCTGGCCTGGGGCCCGCGCCCCTGGAGGACCAATCCCGGCCGGGGCGGGGCCTGAGCCCCTGGAGGACCAATCCCGGCCGGGGCGGGGCCCGAGCCCCTGGAGGACCAATCCCGGCCGGGGCGGGGCCCGAGCCCCTGGAGGACCAATCCTGGCCGGGGGCGGGGCCTGCGCCCCTGGAGGACCAATCCCGGCCGGGGGCGGGGCATGAGTCCCCGGAGGACCAATCCCGGCCGGGGGCGGGGCCCGCGCCCCTGGAGGACCAATCCCGGCCGGGGGCGGGAACCCACCGGAGACTTTATGAATGGCGTGTGGGTGTGGTGGACAAGCAGAGTCCGGAGCCGAGCGAGCTGGGCCTGCTTCAGACCCGCTGGAGCTTTGGGGTAAAGACTTTGATAACTTTGGCTTATTTATTGATTTCAACATTTAAAGTAATTTAAAATTTTAATCTGTTTTTTTTAGAAAATGTGAGGAATCTCCTACTTTGCAGAGCACAGTCCCTGTGCGGGCGCGTGGCTGTCCCGCGGGGCGGCCGAGGGCACGTGGAGCCCCCGCCCCCCTCGCGCCCGGTGGGGGAGGGGCGGCGGGCCGACGGCCCCCGGCCTTCCTCTCGGCCTGCAGCCTTCATCGAAGCCTCCTCGCCCGCCAGTCACGTTCCCTTATCACTTTTCCAGCCAGCTTTGTGACTGAGTGTTGGACGGAGAACTGATAAGGGTAGGTGGTTGTCACGTCCTGCGGACCCCCGAGGGCCACCCAGCCTGGAGGCGGCCGGACCCCTCGGCCTGGGGCCCGGCCTGTCGAGGGCGTCCCGGCAGCTTCTGGGCTTTGTGCTCAGTGAGGTCCCCGCTTGGCTTGTTGGAAACGTGCTCTGTGCAGCCGGGGCGGGGTCCCCGGCTCGGCGGGGTCCCCTGCGGGCGCCCGGGGGCGCTGGCTCCCAGGAGCGCATTCCTCGCTGGATTCCTCGCGACGTGCCTCGCTAGAAGTCGTTGGGAGGTGATTCCGAACGGGTTTGGAATTTTAGGCAATCTTGGAAAAAACAAAGCGAGAGCAGGAATTTCCATGTGATCCGAGCGGAGGTGCCTCCCCTCCCCCACCCCAGACATTGTCTTCAGCCGCCGACAGAGGCCAGACTCCGTGTCTAGGGACCGTGTGAACACGGAACGTTTCAGGGCACTAACCACACTTCTTTTCTTTCTGCCGCATTAGAAAAGGTTGTTTATTATGTTGTTGATTCCGAGCGATCCTATAAATTCATAATTGCTTATATTAAGGCAAATTCCGTACATTTCCATTGATTCGGCAAATGGTGGGGACCGAGTGACACATATGCACTTGGAAAGAAAGACAAAATCGCAGGTTCATGTTCCTGGAAGGGCAAATGCCTCTGTTTGCAGGATGGAGCGTCCAGATTAGCACACGAGGGATCGCATTCCAGCCCAACAGGTAACCCGTACCTTTTCTTTTTGCTTGCTTGCTTTCTTTCTTTCTTTCTTTCTTTCTTTCTTTCTTTCTTTCCTTTTCTTTTTGCTATGATTAAGTATCATGATTTTCCTTAAAGAAGAACCATAGTTTGAAAGTTGGATTAGGATGTGACCTCCGAGCAGTGGCTCTCAGTCTTTGCTGCAGGCTGGAAAAAGCTGGGCATTTGGACTGAGAGCCCGGCTACATCAGAGTCCCCAGCAGGCAGTCGGCCCGGGTCTGAGGAGGTTGGGAACACGCCAGCCGACGTCACCTGTGGCCAGTGGCTGTCCGATCCCCCCACCCCCACACCAGCTCCGATGTGGTGCGGTCTGCCCTGGCCGCCCGATGTTGATACCAGGGGCCCAGAGTCTGTCCCGGAGGGCGCGCTGTGCCCGGGTGAGCCCAGTGTTCGGCTGCCATGCCGCTGACAAGTCAGGGAATCCCAGGGCCCGGACAAGCCCTCAGCCCCTGCCCAGACTCTACGGACGTCTTCAATCCTTATTATGCCTGTTTCCTCCTAAGTGACGTGGAAGCTGGGGCAGCCGGGGACGAATGTCTCCTCCAGCCCCTCCTAGGTGACTCAGTCCCTGGAGGTACGCCCCGTGTCCCGGCACGAGGAAAGTGGCTCAGGAGGCCGCCATGAACAGGCCGTGGGTGCTGGGAGGTGCACTCTGGACGGAGAGGCCCATGAGGGGCGGGCTGGGTGGTGAGACGGCCGAGCGCCAGGCGGCCAAGAGCTGCCCGTCCTCCGCGGTGGCCTGTGACGCTGGGGTGGTCACCTGCGTTATGGCCTCGGGACGACACTGAGACGGAGCAGACGATTCTCCAAAGGTTTGGTCTGTTTTCACAGCCCTGCCTGGATCTCTGGGCAGTGGGCTTGCTACCAATTTGGTTTTGTTTTTTGGATCGGCCCAAAGACATACATAAGGAAAGACAGAAAAATACCTTCGTTGTCCTTCAGAGTGAAGAACACTAGTGATTAAAAGCACAGCTCACGTTTATTTAGGTCTTACTGGGAAATCTCTGGGCAAAGACCTTTACCTTTAAATGTTACTAGCTTTTAATTTGCTTTTGTATTAAATCATTTAGTCATCATACCAACAGTCAGCTGGGTGCGGATACCATCTTCTCCAGTTTGTGGTCGGGGATACTGGGGTCCAGAGAGGTTAAGTAACAAGCCCCAGACCACACAGTAGGTGGCAGGGGCGGGATTTGAACCCAGCCCGTCCAACTCCTGCTCACACACCTCTCTGTTCTTCCCACATCCGACCTCGGGTGCGCAGCGGGGTCGGACCGTGGTGGGGGTGGGGGGTGGGGGGCACACCTGTTCATCTGTAAGACAGCAGTGGTGCCCCAGATGTCCTGAGAGGCGGGTTTTAGGGCCAGTCACGTTGGGCATTTGAGCAGGGACCCGCCCAGGTGACTTGCCGTGGCCACGCAGTGGAGGAGCGGGGACCGAGTCCGCCTTTGCCAGATCCGAGGCCCACGCTTCTCCTCGGTGCACGATAAGTGCTTGGTGAATGAACCCCCCAGGCCTGATGTGCACAGGGACAACCCCCATGCCCCTCCACTGGGAGGGGGAGCAGAGGGGCTTCTGTGGACAAGTCCCACGCTTTGGGCCGCTGCTCTGCACGCGTCCATCTTCCACGCCCAGACTGTGCCAGCGTCAACACAATAAATATCTCACGGCGGGTCTGGAAGGCGACCTCGGCCAAAGGTGGGGAGGACCCTGGGTGGTGATTCGGGAGGTCTGGTGCCAGCTCACGCGTCCCTCTCTTGCACAGGGAAGATGCTTGTCCTTCCTGTCACTGCGCAGCTGTCCCCTGGCCCGGGTGCCCCCGCTCTGCCTCCGTGCCTGGGGGCAGGGACAGGAGAGGCCTCTGTGTCTGATCCGCTGTGGACAGAGACCCAGCTGGGCGAGCAGTGCCCCCCACTCCCCCTCCCTGCTCCGGGCTGCTGCCTGATTGCCCATGAAAAGAAGGCTTACTTGTGGCTGGAAACCCCTGAGGCAGCAATTCCAGGGGCTTTAGGGGGATGCAGGCCCGTCTGCGGCTCACAGAGCTGCCCGGGGTGGAGTGGGAGGAGGAGGAAGCCTGGGTTTCTCAGGGGCCAGGCACGCAGCCCCGATGGCATCCCTGCGAAGGAATGTCCTCGTCGTTATGGATGCAGACTGAGTCCAGTGTTTCACGAAAGGAATGAGGGACAGCAAAGCCAGGTTCAGGAAATTCCCTTCTTCCTGGATGTGGGGTCTAGGCAGCTGAGACCAGAGGCCCCTCCCGCCTCTCCAGCCCTCACCCCTGCAACCTCCCGGTGAACTTGCTGGTTTTGGATTTGGGCGGAGGACCCCTCCCATCTCCGTGGTGGTGGCCCACTGTGGCTGGGGGGGGGAGGAGTATGGTAGAATCCGTGGCCGGGGGGGGGAATACAGTAGAATCTGTGGCCGGGGGGGTGGAATACAGAAGAATCCATGGTGGGGGGGCACAGTAGAATCCGTGGCTGGGGGGGGATATAGTAGAATCCGTGGCCAGGGGAGAATATGGTAGAAGTAGCAGCTGTCACCGCCGTTCAGAGATGGTTTGTACTTGTTCTGCCTAATCCAGTCTCTAACCGTTTTTCAGATGAGGAAGCCAAAGTCCCCAGAGCACAGCCAGTGAGGCACAGCCAGGAGCCTGGCGGCCACGGCGTCCTGGGAGGCCTTCCTCAGGCCACCTCTGACCTCCCCCTCCCTCTGCCCCCCCACCTCCCTCCCTGCACCACCTCTGACCTCCCCCTCCCTCTGCACCCCCACCTCCCTCCCTGCACCACCTCTGACCTCACCCTTCCCCTGCCCCGCACCCTCCCCCTCCCTACACCAGGAGTCCTCTGTAATAGACCACGGGAAAGGGGGAGGGAGGAGGGGGCAGGAGAGAGTGAGCTCTTGGAGGGCAGGCGCAGCCTCAGCTCCAGGTGCTTAGTCTTCGGTGCTTAGTCTTCCGCAGGGTGCTGGCCACACTGTGGGACATATGCCTTCCTGCTCTTTCCTGGGATGCCACCAGTGCCGGGGCCCTGATGACCCGAACAAGCCCGAGGACAACAGTTGAGCTCACTGTGCGCGTCAGCACTGGGCCCAGAGGTACCTTGACTCTGGTACGAGCTGGGGGCCCCGCCCGTGGCCCCACCAAGAGGCCAGAAGATGGAGCTCAGAGGAGCCGCAGGGCGGGAAGCGTGGGGCAAAGCCTCGAACCCAGAGCTTCTGCTCGACCCCACACGGTCACGGCCCTCTGCTCTGCCAGCCCCGTGAACAGGTGTCCGGATGCCTCCCGCCGGGTGCCCGGCAGCGCTCTGAGCCGAGCGGCCCGCCGTCACTTCCTGAGTCCGTCACATAGCACAACGGGGATCGTGCTTCTAATGTCAGCTCCTTTCCCTCTGAGGCAGCTGAGGCACATGGCTGTTCAGGAGCTGGGGCTATAGGCCAGGAGCTGGCCGCTGGCCGACGGGAGTTTGCAGGAGGCCCCGCGCCTGCCGCTCAGCTAGACCCTTAACGCGCCTCTGCTGTGCGCCGCTTGCCCCTGACGCAGAAGCGGGCATCCCGGCCGCGGCCCCGATGGATCGCCGGGGCGGTGCGCACGGGCTGAAGCTGAATGCCCTCCCTGGTCGGACTGCAGAGCGTGGGGCCCCCAGCTGGCCTCCCGCCCACTTTGTGGGGGTCCCGGGGGCTGCGTCCACACCCGCAGATCACACCCTTAGCGCTGGGGTAAGGATGGGGCTGTGGGTGGGTTCTCTGTGGAGCTGAGTTTCTAATTGCAGTTTAAGGGTAGCTGCTAACTTGGGGACGGAGTCTGGGGCTTTGAGCGGGGCTGGGGGCGGGGCACCAGGGACGCTGCCGTCAGGGCCCGGGCTCTGGTGCCAGGAGGGCGGGGCACCTCCACTGGGGGGGCGGCTGGGGTCAGGCCCCCGCAGGGCCGGCTCCGTAGCCCCGGGCTTGGTTCAGCTCTGCTGTCACCAACTTGGAATTCTTTTTTTTTTAATGTTTTATTTATTTCTGAGAGAGAGAGAGACAGCATGAGCGGGGGAGGGGCAGAGAGAGAGGGAGACAGAATCTGAAGCAGCTCCAGGCTCCGAGCTGTCAGCACAGAGTCCGACGCGGGGCTTGAACCCGCGAACTGTGAGATCATGACCTGAGCCGAAGTCGGACGCTTAACGGACTGAGCCCCCCGGCGCCCCGGGGAGTTCTTTCTTGTGAAGGAGGGGCTCTGCGTTTTTACTTTAGCCGGGGCCCTCACGCAGGCAGCCGGCCCTCCCGCCGAGGGAGGCCCCTTGGGCCCCCACCCCCACCCCAGGCTGGCTGTGCCCAGGGGGAGGCCTGGCCCAGAGGCCGCTCACTGAGAGCCCCGGGCACCGGCTGGGGCTTCGGGTCCAAGTCACCTTGGCGTCGCTGTAGCCGAGTGCAGGGAACGGAGGCAAAGCGACACGTGGACGTGGGGGGACTTGGTGGCGGATGCGCGGGCTCACGGAGAGGGGCGCGGCCTCCCGGCGCGACTCGCTGCCCCCCCCTTGTCCTTGACCCTTTGACTCCGCTCCTGCAGCCCCGTCCTTCCCACCCCGGGGCCGGGCCGGGTCTTCAGCTGGGGAAGGGGTGGGAATGGGGCGGTGAGCTGCGGGCGGCGAGGACGGGCCCACGCGGGCACGGAGGGAGGCTTGGGGCGGCCCCCTGGGCACGTCGTATTGCTGCACACGCAGAACGGAGTGAAACTAGACATACAGCCCCCCGCGTGCAGAAGTGAACTCTGGGTTAAAGATCTAAATGAGAGAAAGTATAAAAATATTAGAAGTAAAAACAGAAGATTTTTTTTTAACAAACCTGGGACAGGGATGGTCTTTATACGCAAGGAAGACATACCTAGTAGCCATAAAAAAGAAACGTCAGAATTAACGGTGTCAAAGTTTCAGACTAGGTGCGGCCGAAGGCACCGCCGAAGAGGAGGCCGGTCTGTGCCCCCAGT